TTTAGAGATAATGTAAGAAGGTTGCATTATTATATTTTAATAAAATAATTTATGCATTTTCATTTAATCAGGTGAACAGATCCATATAAGAATTGATAATTGATAACGCTATAAAGTTATCTGAATTGAGACAACCCCGAAGTACGCAATTGATTTTTATGTTTTTTCAGCTCATGTCATAGCAGTGTTAGCAAAGTTAACAGGGTGTCCAAAAACAAGGGTTCCAGATGAAAACTATTTATATCAATTTATGAAAATTGCAACTTGAACCAAAATAGCCTCGTAGCCCAATATTCCAATTCCGAAACTTAGCCGAATTTTATGAAATAACAGAAAAATAAACCAGCAATGAGTTGCTCAACTTTCCCGGCAACATTTAAAATTTTCGTGGTGCTATCTGTTATCATATTTTAATAAAAGCCTTGTTTATATTTTTAACTATAATAAAATGGCAAAAACCTTAATTTTGAGGGTAGGGGTGGGTTTTATAAAACTTTACGCTTGTACAAATGCTAATAACGAATAAAATTGTCTTTAAGTCTGACCCTACTGGAGATACACACAACCCCCATTATCTCCCCACCCCCTTGATCTTTTCCACCAAAATTTAATAGCACCAATCCCCCTAATAAACAAATCTCCCTGCAAAATTTCAAAAAATTTCAACAAAAAGCACAGGTGTTATTAAGCTTCAAACANATTATAAAATGGCAAAAATCTTAATTTTGTGGGTAGAGATGAGTTTTATAAAAAATTGTAAATACTAATAAACGAGTAAAATCCTCAGTAAGTCCGACCCTACTGGAGATAATGGGGGCGTGTGTATCTCCCCATCCATCTACCTTTAACCACAAAATTTAATAGCATCAATCCTCCTAATAAACAAATCTCTCCGCAAAATTTCAGAACTTTTCGACAAGAAGCACAGGAGTTATTAAGTTTCGAACGGGGTAACAAAATCGTGCTCCCTACACGAACATCCATACATACAGAAATTACCTTCCCCGAAATTTATTTGCATTTCTCGATGTTTCAAGGTGATTTTAAGTCCAAAAATGTAAAAATTTAGGGGAAAAGGTAATTTTTTGCCGGATCGCCATATTTTTCCTTTCTTATAACCGCCGGATAAGTAAAAAAGGGTAGCCACGTGTAAAGTGACACCCGAAAATGTGTTACTATAAAAGCAAAATCACATTGATCAGATTAGACTTTTTCTTGGTCTATTGTTCTCTTATAGTATGGAGACACTTCGATCTAAACGAACGAGTTAACCAGGAATTTGGTTAGTTCGAAATACGGTACTTCATAATTCGAAGTGAAAATTCTGTCCAAACTGTGATATGCTTATGTTAATATATAAAGCTCTATATCCAAGGCTAGGACAAATAGTACAGTTACGAACTAATGGGATTTCAAACTATCCGAGTTCGAATTAACGAGAATTTCCTGTACATATTAACAGCGCAGATAACATGTACATACAGTACAACACCCGTACAGTACGTTCTATTCTCGAGAGGACAGGACAAGAAGTATGCAATGGCTTCAAAATCATCGATGCTTTCCTGCAATCGTTAATATTGGATCAATGGTTGTCTTGCCATAATGTAGCAGTATTTTTTACCTTTTTCGTGCTATTAATTGTATATCACGAAAATTCGAATCCAAATATAATTTAGGATATCACATACATTTTGTGTATACAGGTATTTAGTTCAATGCAAAGTGAAATAAATTTCTTAAATACCTATAAACACAATTATAAAATAAAGTGCTTTCACCAAGCAGGTTGGCCTCTTCAAACACAAGGAATGTTCTCCAAAAATATTCAGAAAACCTTTTGAATTTTGATTGACAGCTAACAAGCTTTGGGGACAATACTTTTTACTGAAGAAATTTGCTTACATAATACATTTAGACTTACATAAACTTCAATTTGAAATGCTATGACACATCAAAACCTGTCAATTAAAATTGCAAAAATAGAAATACTGATTGTGTATAGATCAAGAAATATTAGTTAGCTTTATTAATTAAAACATTAGTATTAAGTAGATATCTTTTATCATGTATTCACTTACAAAGAGTACAGTAAGTGCATTTTCAACATCCAAATGTTCCTTACAGTTCAAACACTTGAAACTAATCTCTGTATTATTCTGAGTTATAAATTAAATCACCACTAAACCAATTTAAAATTACATCATTATATACTTTCTACAGAGTTAAACTGATAAACATTAGGCTGCAAGTCCACTATTTTTTCAATTCATATCTTACAAATTATGAAACCAAATTTTGTAGTATATAGATCAAAACTGTAGCTATTGGTAATTCTTCATATTTAATAATAAGCAATTGTCTACTGGTCACTTAATTATGAATGTTAATATCAATAACTACATCATCGTCATAAAAGAAAAATACACAAATATTAAATATTTCACGTTTAAGTTTGTAATGCAATATCACTGAAATTATAAATTTATTTATTTAGAACTATAAAATCAGGAAACAGAAATATTGTAAAGTATAAAATTTATTTTCAAAATTACAAATTTTAAAAGTAAAAATATAAAAATGTACAGTACATCTAATAAATTTACATACTCATCTTATAAAAAAATATTGATATTGGATTGAAAAAAGCTGATTTCCATGAAAATCAACAAACTATCTTAATATTAGATTATACAGATTTTTCACAACCTCAAAAATCTCATGGAAATATGACAAAATAGTTTGTGATAATATATATATATGGGCATGTTTGGGAAATTGTAGAAATATTCAAAATAAAAAAAATATATATAAATTTTCTAAGACATAATAAAAACATGAATTCATAGCAAAACTTAGCAATTTCATTCAAAAATTGTAATGAATTTAACAGTGGCCTGCCACCATCAGCTGTATATTAGGAACATATAAATAGAACTTAACATGATGTTAAATTTGAGATAATTCAAAACCAATCATAGATATTCAGCATATCATAAATCAATGAATTTATAAAGTGAATTAAGAGATATGTATCACTCCCTAATTGTAAAATTTTATTTAAAATTTAAATTACTATATTAGAAGCATTTTTGAAGAGAATTTGCAAAAATGCTTCTAATATAAATTGGATATATTTTTATTCTAACATTTGGATTTGATTTAAAATGAAATAACGTTGATATAATTTATTGGATATCATTCTCTATTATCATTTGATAAATATTAAAATTCTGAATTGCTGATTTATATATATTTTGAAATCACAAGATAAAATTTATTATATATATATTGATTTCATGAATTAAATGATAAGTTAGATAATCTAACTATATTGTACTTTAATTATAGAGGAATATATTCAGGAACACATAGGAGGTGTGATGAATTAAATGAAAATGATAAAAATGCATTTCAAAATTTAACACAATAAGGTATAAAGTTCACTTTCCACTCCATAAAATGCTTAGCCCCCGTTTTTTTAANCATCTTATAAAAAAATATTGATATTGGATTGAAAAAAGCTGATTTCCATGAAAATCAACAAACTATCTTAATATTAGATTATACAGATTTTTCACAACCTCAAAAATCTCATGGAAATATGACAAAATAGTTTGTGATAATATATATATATGGGCATGTTTGGGAAATTGTAGAAATATTCAAAATAAAAAAAATATATATAAATTTTCTAAGACATAATAAAAACATGAATTCATAGCAAAACTTAGCAATTTCATTCAAAAATTGTAATGAATTTAACAGTGGCCTGCCACCATCAGCTGTATATTAGGAACATATAAATAGAACTTAACATGATGTTAAATTTGAGATAATTCAAAACCAATCATAGATATTCAGCATATCATAAATCAATGAATTTATAAAGTGAATTAAGAGATATGTATCACTCCCTAATTGTAAAATTTTATTTAAAATTTAAATTACTATATTAGAAGCATTTTTGAAGAGAATTTGCAAAAATGCTTCTAATATAAATTGGATATATTTTTATTCTAACATTTGGATTCGATTTAAAATGAAATAACGTTGATATAATTTATTGGATATCATTCTCTATTATCATTTGATAAATATTAAAATTCTGAATTGCTGATTTATATATATTTTGAAATCACAAGATAAAATTTATTATATATATATTGATTTCATGAATTAAATGATAAGTTAGATAATCTAACTATATTGTACTTTAATTATAGAGGAATATATTCAGGAACACATAGGAGGTGTGATGAATTAAATGAAAATGATAAAAATGCATTTCAAAATTTAACACAATAAGGTATAAAGTTCACTTTCCACTCCATAAAATGCTTAGCCCCCGTTTTTTTTAATTTTGAAATATTTCATTAAACTCACTTTTCTTTAAACAGATTTTCCTTTCACATAATACATTTTACTATTTTAGATATATTTAAACATTGCTATTTTTCAAATTAATGAATAAATAAATTAAAAATTATTAATAAATTTAAAAAGGATATAAATCTATACAAATTTGAATAATATACAGAATTCAACATTGTTTAGATTTATTTAATTTTTTAAAATTTAGTCAATCTTCTCTCTTTAAACTTGACCCTTTAATTAATTTAAGCTGTTTTATTTATTAAAAGAAAAATAAATTCCTCAAAAAAGAATAAATAAATAAATAAAATTATTATTATATTTTTTATCATAGGAGTAAATACAGATTGAATTGAACTAATCCCTAATAATAGTTTTGANGTTTTATTTATTAAAAGAAAAATAAATTCCTCAAAAAAGAATAAATAAATAAATAAAATTATTATTATATTTTTTATCATAGGAGTAAATACAGATTGAATTCAACTAATCCCTAATAATAGTTTTGAATGATGATTTTTTTTAATATATTTGAAATTAGATACAAAATTATTATAATTTGAATAAAATGTAAAATACCAATAATAAAATTTGCCTAAAAAAATAAAATGCATATCAAAAATATCTTCCTATAGCTAAATATAAAAACTCCTATATAATTAAATAAATGAGTAAGTTGTAACCACCAGTGTTACTTTTAAAAATAGTATGAAAAATATTTCAACGTTGTATACACACATTTTCTTTTTGTAGTTGTCTGTATAGGGCAATATATTTGGCTGCAGTTTTAGTACGTGGAACAATGAAATCTTTACAAAACTGTGTCTTGCTAATGAGTGAAGATTTCATCTGTCTCAACTGAAGTGCTCTTAGAAATGAAAGGACAAATGAATAACAATTATGACTATTTTCTTCATACCTGAAAAATTAAAGATGAAAATGTTACATCATTTAAATTATTTTAAATTGGTTCTTAAAAAATTATTTATATATATCTGTAAACTATATAAATAAGAGTGATCATTTTTCTTAACACCATTGACTCTCAAATGGTTGTTTGATATTTTGTATAAATGGTTATTATTTATATTGATAATGTAAAGACATTTCATTTGAAAACTATCAAATTATCAATTAGTGCATATTGTAACAAAGACAGCATTCAAAATAACTAATTGATATGTAAAAGAACCTATAACACTCAGAGTTACTAATTAAATATTTGATTGTATTTATTTTATCAAATTAATTCTATCATGCAGTCTTTACATACATACATAATCAAAATTTTAAAATTTATCAGGAGTATATTAAGCATTAAATACAAATAACATAAAAATTTATAAATTGTGCAAAAGATTAAAACTATTAAATATTTAATTTGAGAATTAACAGTACACTTATTACTGTCAAATTAATTAACAATTTTATAAAATGTAATATGTTATAATGTATTCTTCAAAAAATATTCAGCTTCTCTGTGATTCCTTATTATATTATTTTAAAGAATTACTTAATAGAGCAACTTAGGACTTCAATCTCGGATTATCTCCTTTCTTGTTGGAATACCAGCTATATTTCAATTAGAAAATTCTCAGAAATTCTATAATCTTGCATCCGCAGGTATATAGGAACACTATTGGTAATTCAATAATCCAAATCTAAGGTTTAATTATGTTCCTATATACTTGCTGATGCAGGATTACAGAATTCCCAAAAATTTTTAAATCTCAGATTAGTCAAAATTTATTTTTAATTCATAAATTGAAATTAACCCAGGAAAGATTACACACACAATCACGAATGAAATAAATATTTTTATATATTTTAGTAATCACATAGTATTTACATGAAATGTATTGATCACAATGAATTTATTGAATAAACCTACTGTAACATTAATTTCTTTTTCTACATAATATTATTTAAATTTTTACTTTAATTAATTTCTATTTATCATACAATAATTATTAATTTTGATATAAATTTTATAAATAAATTAAATTTTCAAACTTAATATAATTCTGAAAAAGTTTAAGTTTGTTTTAATAGTTATGCCTTATCATATATTTTTATTCTAAAATTAAAGTAAGGCATAACTATAAAATTATAATAAATATTGTAAATATTTTTCAATTTCCATTATTGTAATTTTAGAAATAATATATATACACATCTAAATTTGTATAGCCATAATTATTACAATAAAAAGGAGCAATTTCATAATGGATGAACCTAACTCTTGAGTCTTAAATACCAATACATTTTTTAAATTTTACTGTAAATTTTTGTACTATGTTTACTGTAAATGTTTGCAAATTAAATTAATCATTTAATTTTAGTCAAATTAATGCTTGTGTAGAATAACAGATATTTGGTTTATCAAACAAAAATATTTAAGAATGTTCTGATTTAAAAAAATTTGATTTTTATATAGAATTAATTTGATGTATAAATTTTTATAATTAATTTTATTTAATTTATATGCTAAGTATTAATTAAAATATTGTAAAAATATCAATATCAAAATGAAGCAATACAAGAGTTTAAAACAAATAATTTTGCAATATAAAATTTTGGGCAATTAACTTGTTAAAAGTAAATAATGCTAGGTATTTAAAAAATAATCATGCATTCATAATATCAAATTATATATCCCAAAATTCCACTACAGTACATAATTATATAATGATTTTGTTATTTAACTTTATAGAATAAATAGTACTAAAAAAACATCATTACTTGCAATAGAGGCCCATCTGTATGCAACTAATAATTACATAACTTATTTCTATTATAATAAATAAACAAGTAATTAATTATTTTTAAACTCTGATACTTAATTACTATTTAGACACTCAGAATGTTTATAAATTTAACAATATATACTTACTTCTCTTTTTGCCATTGATCTTGATGACAAATTGCATTCAATATATAATCCCAGTATTCTTTCCATGTTATATCTAATTTTGATATAATAGTTATGGGTAAACATTCATTCCATAAATGACTGCAGTTAAATCTCAATCCTTCTCGGTCAAAATCATAAACTTCACCTATAATTTTTCAAATGATATCATAATTATTTATTACTTATCTGTTGATGTTTATATTTACATTTATTTATATAAATGTAATATATTTTATAAATTGCTTTATAATGTTATATCATTTTTACATAAGCATTCAAAAATATATATGAAAATAACTAACAAAATAACATATACCTATTTGTTATATACTGTATATATAGCAAGTTTTTACATTTTTGATAAATATTTTAAATTTATTTATTAAATCTCTATGGTACTTAATAAAACAATTTCTTTACATTTTTATAATAACACTTATATTATCAATATAGTGTATTCAAGTTTCTCAATATACAATACAAGTAAATGTATACAAAATTACCTTTAGAATCTGTGATACCAATATGTAAATCTGTGGAGTTTTGATAGGCACTGAAATGATTAAAAAGACAGAATTAAAGATTTTAAAAAATATATAAACTATTTAATTTGGATGAAATGCTATTTGTTTTCATAAGACATGCATTGATTAAAAATGACATTTAAAAAGATTTCATTAGAGAATTGAATGAGTATTGTATCCTTACTTGAGGAAATCTCCTTTGGTTGGCTTGATTACGACCGAACAGGGACTTTTCTTTGCACTTGTAAAAGGGTAAGGAACTCTAAACGGAGGTATTCTCAATTCCGAAGTTTGCAAGTCGCCATTACACAGCGCGCATACATCGGGAAGATCGAAGCAGAATATCTTAACTACTTTATCACAATGTTGAAAACATAATATTCCAGGATCTCCTAACATCTCTTCAAAATTTACGAACAATTCAATCAATCCTTCGTCATTCCGACCTTGTTTATCTCTCTCTAAGGTCAATGACGAGGCCAGTTAAAAAGTCGATGTTCAACTACTCCTCCAGCTCTTGATTAGTTCGTTCCGTTATGACGTTTTTCGTAATTCCTCCAATAAAGTTACGTTTCGATTTCTTTTGTTTCACGTGACACAGATGTAACCGTTAATTGGTTTATTTCAAATATACTTAAATAATAAGTATTTAATATTTATACTTACAGTATATGTATATTTTGATAGTTTAGAAAAAAAATTAAAAAATAAATTCTTTTGGGATTAGATGTAGCTTTAAATACTATATGCATCAGAGGAATTTATTAATTAAAAATTTCAGTTTAATATCTTCTCCAGAAAATAAGTAAAAGTATAAAAAATAAAGTTGTAAATAACAATTGATTCATTCTTAAGTAATGAAAATCAAGAAAAATTTTTATTGAATAGTAAAGTTTGTCATTAAAAAGTCATCTTTTAGCAATTAGAGCATTTTAACTTATTTTTTATATAGAAATATTTTTCGTTTCTTAAAAGATTGCATATAAATTTTTTATTAAGTTATACGAACATAAATAAAAGTATATAAAGTTATAATCCTTCAATGTATATAGCTTTATGTATTTTTATTTATGTTAGGAAATATGTAGATACTGTTGCCAATATAATTTTTCTCTTAGGGCCTACATTAATTTCAGTAAACTCAACAGATGACATTGAATCTTAAAATATGTTGAGCAAATAGCTTCATATATCTACTGTATATAAATATACATATAAAAGCTATGTAGCTAATTTAGATCTATGTGTATATAATGCCTATATGTGCATTTTTTTATTTAAAAAATAAAAATTTTAAATAGTACATATGTAAATCATTTAAAAAAATCAAAACAGAATAAGAAGTAATAACTTAAATAATAACAAACAAATACCGATAAAGATTATTATAATATTAACTTGAAAATCTTAACAAAATGTAATAGGCCTAATAATCGAATATCAGGTCACGTATAAAGAGTAGGTGTTGACTTAAACGAAACAAATTGGTACTGAAGGTTACATTTTCGAGTTGATTATTATTGAACATATTGTGGGTTGACAAATATGATTTACAAAGAAAACATGACGAGGAAGATTCATTTTTTGATTTTCATTTTATTTTTGAATGTGAAGGTCATAAATGAAATCAGTTTCTCAATAACAATAATAATATGAATATATATATAAATTGAAAATTTTTAAGATATTTCCTGCTTTGTCTTGTTTAAAACGGACTTGTTGTCTTGTTAATCCTATCTCTGAAAAAATCGATATGTAATTCGATCCATATCGACTTACATATCGATAATTCAAAAATAAATTTAGGTAAAACTTTAAATTAGGTAAAAAAAAAAACTTATGCAAGGATATTTTAAAATAAATAGCTTAAAAATAATTAAATATAGAAATGATGTTATCATTATGATTATTTTTAAGCAACGTAACATGTTACGAAATTCATGATTCGTAGAATTCGATATTAAAATGTGTAGGATGTTATTTTTAGTTATAATTAAAAAATAAAGAAATAAAACGAAGCTTTACGACAGTAATTATATCCTATTGAAGTAAGTTTTCTTTATATTTAAACAACGATTGTGTTTTAAATTTTTACCTTGACATACAATAATCATCTGGACATCTTTAAAAGCCACATTATTCAATTATTTTAAATTTCATTTCTTGACATTTAATTTTGATGGATGATTTTAAGTGATATATGTTTTGTATGATAAAGTTCTTACGTAAGTTTCTAATATGTCTATAAAATTTGAAAAGGGAACATGCCGTCATATAAATTGTAATATTAATTATTAATGAAACTTATATTTTTATTACTTTCTGGAAATATTTCTTAATTCTTGACAAGATAAATGTCAGTTCCAATATAAGTACAGGAAATGTATACTATAAAAACTCTAAATAAGTGAACCGTTTCAAATATAAAGGCGTGGAAGGGTCACCAGTTGTTTAGGTCACGAAGATTTTCTAATCTTTTCATGGGCCTTTCCTACTTAACCTAACTGCCAAGGCGTTTGAAGTAACGTTCAGGAAATAGTTACAAAGGTGATATTTCTGAAATATCTTTTTTCTTTAATTTCGGGAACAAAATTAACTTCCCAAAATTATACATTTTCTCAACCGTAAAATTAACGAAAAATTGAAATTTACGAATTACTCTATATACAATTTTATTTGCTAAAACTAAAAAAAACTATTATTTTTATTGAAAAATACTTCATACACTCCAAAAATAATTTATATCGGACATTTTATTTTTATCAAAAGTTTATAAAAGTATAATATTTAGTTATTATAATTAGTTTTGTTTACGACGTGTCGACACAGTTTCGGACAGAGACCTCAATTTGCTCTTGATCCTGAAGACGTTAATAACAAATCTCGACCTCGTTTTTCTTTCAGGAGACAAGTATTCATTTTAATCAACGGATGATACAATTTTACAATGCATCTTTACCATAAATGTAGGTTACTTTTTGACGTGCAACCTGATTTTTAAAAATATTATCAGTTTTATTCAAGCAATACATTTATAGATATAAAAAATTTAATTGAAAAAGATATGGATAATTACAGAGGAATTGATTAATTACATATTGTTGTTAAATTAATAAATGTTTGAGTATTGAACATTCAAAGTTTTCAGGAAATTTATAAAGAAAATTGAGATTGTTTTATCCTATATAATGGGGATTATTTATTGTTTAATGGAGTTTTTTAATGTTAAACATTATAGTTAATATTGGATATGGTAATTAAATAAATTATAATATAATTTATTTATATTATTAAATATCATTATATTACAGTATAATGATATTTAATAAATATATATAATGACTTTTAATAACACATCTATTTATAGTGTGTTAAACACGTTTTAAAAGAAAAAGTAATATTCATCATATACAGCCTAAATTTTTTCCATAAATTACTCTTTTTTTGTTTGAATTGCATAAACCAAAAAAAATAACATTGAATATTACATTACTTTTTAAAAATATGTAATAAGAAATATTAAGAAAGATCGTTAGAAAGAACATTAAAAAATAAATAAATAAAAAGAAAATGGCTGCTTCTTCATTTTTCGATTTCAGATTGTTCCAGATTTAAACAAAAGTTAATTAGTTAATTATATGAAGTTTTACAATAAGAATTTTTTTTATAGGCCTATATATTAAATTGCACTTAAACTTTGTTTCTATAATATTTTAAAGCAAGTTAAACAATTGAATTTGGCTAATTTAAATTGATTTAATTTCGTTAATTTAATTTTTAACTAGTTTTCATTTCAGTTGATCGTGGTCAGAATAAAGAAATTATTTAAGTTACTTTGTTCTTCTATACCCCTTTTCTAATTAAACTTATAAACTTATATTGATTATATTTCTGGTAATAAATTAGAATTATGTAATAATTCTTGAAACGGTTCTCTGCTTAGCATAATTAAATTTTTTAATTTAAAAAATATTTTAGATTTTAATATTATATGTTTAAATGTACGATCATGTGATTAAATGATCTTAAGCATGAGCGAGTCTAAATATAAACTACATATAAATTGAATTGTTTTTCAACAAGATTTTCTTTAAACAAGGAAAAAAATTTCTTAAATTTACAAACGAAATTTTAGAAGTAGGTCTATTAAATATAATTTGATTTCCCTCTTTGTCATTTTTAAAAATAAATTTTCAATTTTTGAAATCTTAAGTCAATTTATCAAAAGAAAAACAAAACAATAACATTCTATTTCATTATATATTTAAAATTTTAGACTAAAATGTTATACATGTAATATAATTTTTTATTCTGAAACTCTAAATTAAGATGTAATAGAATATTTTTAAAGTTTCTGTAGTAATTTTTATTAATTTAGAAATATTTTAACTTAAAAATGATTTTAAAAGTATTTTTTTATCTTAAAGTTTAGTTTATCAAAATTTATAGTAGAAAATTTATTATTATTTCAACTATTTTGGTGTAATTAGACAACTTCAAAAATAACTTTTATTCATTCATAAACATTTAATTGCTTGTCAATGAAAATAAGTTAATTATTTTAAGTCTTTTAATTAGTTATTAATAACAAATTATATATGCTTGCTAGAGTCTATAATTGGAGTGACTATTTATTTAAAAAAATTTTTTTTAATACTTAACATCAACAATACTAAGGATTTGTAGCAACATTTTAAGGTAATAAAGTTATTAAATATGTTTTATAGAGATACATATGCCCAAAATACTGTATATTAATTTTTATAAATACCTAAGAATGTCTCTTCTCGACAATAAACCTTCAACTATTTTAATGGCATATAAAAATTTCGCATACCGGAAAATAAAATTGCAATATTTACACGCATTATGTGAATTTTTATCATTTTGATGGCATAAGTTTTGCTTCTGCACGCTTGGATGGTTTTCAAAACGACTTAACTAGCATGAAGTAATTTTAGAAATCAGCAAAGATAAAACTGAATTTTCCTTCGTATAGATTTTTGACGCGTGATTAATGAATAGTCAAAAACGTTATTAATGATGGTGATTAATTAAAGTCACGAATTTAAGAATTTTGTATGTTGCTTAGCCATTCAAATGTTTTAAAGTAAGTCACTTTGAACAACAAGTGCTTTGAAGTTTCTTTTATTTGTTGCTTTTTATCATGAATTCGTTTTATACTAAATAAAAGTAGAGGTCCGTTATATAAAAGCAACGTCGTTCTTAAAACTACCGAATTAATTTACGAAGGGAGATCGCATATCCTCTCAACTCTTCGAGATTTAAAAGAATTGTTGAAAAAGTTATGAAATATTTCTCTTGTAACGCTACATAAATTAAATTTTTAAAGTTTTTTAAGTCACTTTTTAATATGTTATTTTAATTTATGATTTTATTTTCTTATTTTCTCTTTTAAATAAGATTTGTCCACAGATTCTTTTACTATTTTATTTTCAGGTTTTCTGGAAATAATATGTTGTACAATTTTTTAATCTAACCGAATACATTCATAGTACTGTACCTAACATGTTGAAAATTTCGATGCTTTGCTTTTCTTAAATATTAGATCTTAGGAAAGACTATTATTAACTTCTGATAATGCTATGCTTAAAAAAGGCAATGCTTTTACTAAGTTTTAACTTTATTCATCAGACAATTGTAAATTTTTTTGTTCAAATCAGCTGAACAATATAATGTAATTTATTATAAATAAACTTTTTCATTTAAATAAAAAATTTATATTGCTAACATTCCATTAGTTATGTTGGGTCATTAAAAAATTGAAATTGTGACTGATCTATTTAAAACTTATGGTATTTTAAATAGTCAAACTTCTCAGGTCAAATTTAATTGCATTATAATCTAATGTACTTTGTTTTAATATAAACTAGACATATTTTTCATTGTATTTAGTGAATAATTTGATTTTGAAAATATAATTACTGTAGAAACATTAAACAGTATTAAATTATGTTTAATGGTTAATATACTAATTAACTTTTAATTCATTTGTATAAATATGCACTATTTATAAATCAAAAAAACAAAACACCTTAATTTGCTGAGAAAAAATATTCGAATGTTCTTAGCCTGACGATGGCCAACTGATTTGGCTGAAAACGTTAGCTTTACATTAAATTTTTTCTCAGCAAATTAAGGTGTTTTGTTTTTTTGATTTATATACTATTGCTGAGTGTGTGTACATCAATTAGTATATGAAAACAATTAATTAAACAATTAAAACATTATATAGCTGTACATTATTAACTTTGCCATTATCTCTTTATTTAACTGTAGTTTATTTTATCCGGTAGAATAAATTATAATGGATAGTCGGATTAATAAATACTAAAAACATAATTCCGGAATCCTTATTATATCAGTGTTATTTATTCTCGAATAATTGGATAATGNAGACATCTGTACATAATTGTGAATAATATTTAGCTAAAATTTCGAAATATAAATGCTGTTGTCAAGTAAACAACTGTAATGTAAGTTAAAGTACGAGGCTATTTTGTTAATGACATCATTACTGATATAGAGAGTTAGATATAAAGTTGCATTTTTCATCTATCAGATACCTAAGAAGATTTCGACTGTTTAATTCCCGAAAGTGAGTCTTGTTTCAAATTTTAAAATATATTTAATTAAAATAGCAAAAACGTGTTTAATTCTGATAACTACGAAAAGAAACAAATTTATAAAAAAAATAATTAATAATTTTTATTGATAAATTCTTAACAAAAAACAGGCAGCATAAAACTCATTTTAGTACACTTATTTATGAATAAAATAACGTTAAACGTTATTTTATTCATAAATAAGGATATTTTAACAGTAGACTTTACAATTAATTTGAATTTAAAAAATTAATAATATTTGAAACTAAAGATTTATAAAATTTAATTAAGTTATTCAAATATCGTAGAATTAAGTAAATCTAAAATTAAAATTAAGTAAAATCTAAATAATTCCTCAACGAATAGTAATCTAATTAGTTCATTGTAATATAAAATAAACAATTAAACGTTTACCTGCTTTATCTCAGTTTGATAAACGAAAATATCTTATGCTATATCTTATCAATTTATGATTTGTAATCAATTGACAACATCTTACATTTCAAAAGTAAAATAGGGCAATTTACAAATTGATAAAAGTGTGATTATTTATTTATTAATAATTTTAATTATACTATATGAGAATTATAAGTCTATGATAATTTAATAACAATAAATCTAATAATAATTAAAAAAGAAATAAAATTCGTATAAAATTCATTTATTAATTAAATAATTTGATGCAGTAGATCATATAAGAATTGAGAAAAACTGTAAAGTAATTGTTTATACAAAAACTTGTTTCAAGCTAAACTTCAGATTACAAATAGTAAAAGGTTATGAGTAGGATGGAAGGAATATGTAGGATTAAAATTAAGCGAATATGGATAAGTTCGTAGGATTTAACACTCTTAATTATTCAGTAAACAATTTTAATAAAAAAAAGAGCAAGTTTTAACATTTCTATATCAAACATTAGGAAGTAAATAAGATAAACAATAACTTTCTAAATCAGGAAGTTAAGCTACATTAATTTATACTAGAATTCCAAGAAAATTAACTATATTAAAGAAAAATTGTTTTTATAATTGTCTTTCAAAATTGTATTGCAATATGATTATGATTCATATAATCTTCATTCAATTTATATGCACTAACTTAGTCATCTTTGAAGTTTTCTGAAAGAATTGGTTAAAATACAGCTAGTGTTGTTTTCACAAGTAAGTTCTATAATGCTTAAAATATTTTAATTATGATAGATTTCTTTAAAGCATATTATTTTTTGTAGATTTAAACTGCGATTTCAATTGATACCATTTTTATATTGTTCGATTATTTTTGTCATATGAAGAATATTTATTATTAATGCTAATTACAATAAAATTTTAATTAAAATACTCAAATTTTTGTTTATTTATTCTATTAAACTTTTTATTTTATATTTTACTATAAAATTCACAAAAAGAATATAAAGTTAAAACAAATCTGTACTTAATTTTAATCCAGATCTACAAGTACGGTAACCATTCGTCAAACTATCAAAGGTTTAATTTTTATCTTATGAATTATCAATTAGGAAATTAATTTTATCAATTTCGACATTATTTCTCAAAAGTATATTCTTTACCCATGATAAAAATTCATATCAATAATCGTGTATAATGAAGTATAAGCAGATTAGCTGAATCGACAATCTAACAAGTAATTTTTATGTATTACACGCATTCATGATATATTTGAAAAGTGACCGGTTCAAATATTTTGGTTAGACTACCTGTAAATATTGTTTTGTACAAAAGAGATTGAAGTTATTTTATTAAATCTTGTACCAGAGCGATATAATCTTACTCCTATTTAGGTCAACGGTACAAAGACCTAATGGATGATTAGATAGTTGTCTGTTTGCCTTTATCTACTTCACTTCATTTATGACCCATATTTACTTTTTTCTTTAACATGAATCTTGTTTCTATATTTAAACTAATATATTTCTGAATGTCAGTAAAATAAATAAAATATATGTATTTTTAGGAAAATTATATAAAAAATTATAATGTTTATAGGTTTATTTGCACTTAAGCCATTTATATTATCCGCGTCGTTAAAATTTACTTAAAATATTTTATTAATGCCAACAATTTCAAGAGAAAATTGTTATTTTTATGATTATACCAAGTTTATATTTAACAAAAATAAAAAAATAAATACTATTATTAAACTTATGTTTAATTTTTTTTTAAATTAAAATTCAAAAATTATATGTTTATAGATAAATTTTTAATTTAAAAAATATATTTTTAACGAAAATACGTCATATCAACAGTTTATATTTAAAGCAATTATTGATGAATGGAAAAATAAAAATAAAAAAATAGAAAGTGAAAAAATTCATTACAAAATCAATGTTAAACAAAGTAAAAGCAATCTGAAACGTAGAAATTCGATTCAAATAATCAAAAGTTCAGTGTTCTGTCGATCAAAATATTTTAAGTGTTTAATTTTAAATATGTTGTAGAAATATCTATAGACATCTGTACATAATTGTGAATAATATTTAGCTAAAATTTCGAAATATAAATGCTGTTGTCAAGTAAACAACTGTAATGTAAGTTAAAGTACGAGGCTATTTTGTTAATGACATCATTACTGATATAGAGAGTTAGATATAAAGTTGCATTTTTCATCTATCAGATACCTAAGAAGATTTCGACTGTTTAATTCCCGAAAGTGAGTCTTGTTTCAAATTTTAAAATATATTTAATTAAAATAGCAAAAACGTGTTTAATTCTGATAACTACGAAAAGAAACAAATTTATAAAAAAAATAATTAATAATTTTTATTGATAAATTCTTAACAAAAAACAGGCAGCATAAAACTCATTTTAGTACACTTATTTATGAATAAAATAACGTTAAACGTTATTTTATTCATAAATAAGGATATTTTAACAGTAGACTTTACAATTAATTTGAATTTAAAAAATTAATAATATTTGAAACTAAAGATTTATAAAATTTAATTAAGTTATTCAAATATCGTAGAATTAAGTAAATCTAAAATTAAAATTAAGTAAAATCTAAATAATTCCTCAACGAATAGTAATCTAATTAGTTCATTGTAATATAAAATAAACAATTAAACGTTTACCTGCTTTATCTCAGTTTGATAAACGAAAATATCTTATGCTATATCTTATCAATTTATGATTTGTAATCAATTGACAACATCTTACATTTCAAAAGTAAAATAGGGCAATTTACAAATTGATAAAAGTGTGATTATTTATTTATTAATAATTTTAATTATACTATATGAGAATTATAAGTCTATGATAATTTAATAACAATAAATCTAATAATAATTAAAAAAGAAATAAAATTCGTATAAAATTCATTTATTAATTAAATAATTTGATGCAGTAGATCATATAAGAATTGAGAAAAACTGTAAAGTAATTGTTTATACAAAAACTTGTTTCAAGCTAAACTTCAGATTACAAATAGTAAAAGGTTATGAGTAGGATGGAAGGAATATGTAGGATTAAAATTAAGCGAATATGGATAAGTTCGTAGGATTTAACACTCTTAATTATTCAGTAAACAATTTTAATAAAAAAAAGAGCAAGTTTTAACATTTCTATATCAAACATTAGGAAGTAAATAAGATAAACAATAACTTTCTAAATCAGGAAGTTAAGCTACATTAATTTATACTAGAATTCCAAGAAAATTAACTATATTAAAGAAAAATTGTTTTTATAATTGTCTTTCAAAATTGTATTGCAATATGATTATGCATTAAATTTTTCTGCTAATCTGATAAGTTAATAAAAATATTTTGTAAAGAATAATTAAGGAATTAATAAGATTCTTTGATTAAAATTATTCTAATATTTAATTTAATTGTTATATATATGCTATCTTTATATATAAAAATCGATTTTAGATAACAATATAAAATATAACCCTACAGAACATTTAATAAAATATTTCTTATGTGACAGTCTATGTTTAAATAAGTATATAGCGTAGAAAATATTATATTTACAAAATTAGATAATTAACACGTTATAAGAAATTATAATTATTAAAAAATGATATAATGATATTTAATTATATATTAGAGAAAATTAATTTTAAAGATTTTTCGAAAATACGATCAAACTATCATCATATTCTATTCTTGTATGAAGTTATTTTAAATGGAAAATAAATTTGTGTGTCAAATCTGTTTGCTGTAATAAGACGATTTAAGTGTAATTATTTAATTGATCTCTTTACTTATAAAGTATTTTAAAGATAGGTATCATTCTATCATAAATAAATAAAATTATTTTTTTGTTATAGACTTCGATCATAAGATGAAGTCTGTAGCTGTGATCGGAGCCGGGGTGAGCGGATTGACGTCCATAAAATCGTGTTTAGAAGAAGGATTAGATGTAACCTGTTACGAAAAATCAGAAAATTATGGTGGATTATGGCGCTATAGAGACGAAGGAGTATCGGTGGCAAAAAACACTGTTATGAACACTAGCAAAGATATTGGTGCATTCAGCGATTTCCCTCCTCCTAAAGAGTTTCCTCAATATATGCCTCATCAGACTATGATAAAATATTTGGAAATGTACGCAGAAAAATTTCAACTAAATTCGAAAATTCGTCATAATCACGAGGTCTTAGAAATCAAAAAAGAAGAGGATTACGAAGAAACAGGAAGATGGAAATTGCGAGTAATGAATAAAAATACAAAAGAGATATTTGAGAAATCATTTGATGGCGTTATGATCTGTACGGGTCATCACGATTTTCCTCATATTCCACCGTTTCCTGGGTTGGAGAATTTTAAAGGACGTGTTGTCCATACAAGAAATTACAAATCTGCAGAAGGATGTGAAGATAAACCAGTTCTTATTATAGGTATAGGCAACAGCGGAGCAGATGCTGCGGTTGATATGAGTGAGACGGCGAAAATCGTGAGTTTATAATAAGAATCCATCATGATCTTTCTGAAATTAAATGTTTAACTTTAGACTTAGTTTAAAAATTAGTTATGATAGAAATTTAACCATCAAAGAAAACATCAAATTAAAAAAAATCCTTTTATGCAATCGAAATTGACAGGCTATTATAAAATAGTTTTAAATATATGAGAATATAGCCTAACATTTGCATGTTTAGACATTTTTAGGAATATTGAACATTAATATATTGTTTTTAAGAATATATAACGTTATAATAGAAAATAATTTATATTTTTTAGTTTTGAAATTCTGGGATGCAATGCATTATTTTAACAAGTCATCGGGAGAATAATTGATTTCAGGAATAATTCTTACAATAAGTATTGTGCCAATAGGCCTGTTTTATGGG